CGTATTCAAAGCACCTCGTGGAAATTAGCTAATATGCCCAAACAAATGTCTTCGACGTCACGTTTTATCAAGATCACACCACTTACATCCTCGCATAATACAGATTGTTCCAAAAAGACGGAAGACAGTCTAGAAAACCGACGTCTTAATAATTCTATAGTCGAGATATAGAACAACCTCCCTACCCTCTGTTTGGACCTGTTTATCACCAGTTATCTTAAGAATCCTTAGAAACTGGATTTTCGTCTTTGTCAAATCATATAATAAAATTTTGATCCTAAATAATTCTTAGACGTTCTCTCAATTTTCAATTTCAATTTTCAATTTGCGTTTTTCTCATTCATCGTATCTTTGCCTTTTATGAGGTTAGAGTATACTCTGCATGATGTTTTTGTACAGATATCACGAAAGCATGATTCGTAAAATTTTGACCAAAAACTGTGAACTTTGAAATACCATTTAACATGGCAAATAAGACCCTTTTGTAGCCATTGTCAGGAATAAATCTATAAATCTAAACAACATTCATCACTACTGTTGAGCTGTGAATTTTAGTTGCAGTATCTTAATTTAAAGTGTTAGCAAATAATAAGTTACAACAATCAATACCCAGCATTGTTTCATGTCAATTTAAATATCTAGATACATTAAACGTGTATATCAATTTTGATATGACTCTTCAATCATTAAAAACTAATTTCTCAAACATAGTGATAGCAAAAATTGCTTTAATGTGTCCATTGATTTTTGCCTTATTCTACGTGATTGCAAACAAAAAACAGTTCAGACACGAACCGCTTGAAACATGGGCATTTTAGGTTTGTATTCTTCATTTTCTGTTCAAACATTGTACATATCCTGCTCGATAAAGTTTAATTTGACAAGAGAATGTCATACTCAGTGGGGTCTGATAATATCATGTCGGTGACGTCAGAATCTGTTCATATAGCAAGTTAAGAGGACACTTTAAAAGCAGTTTTGTTCCGGATTCAATGAACGGTAAACACTATGGAATAGAGTTCAATATAATAAAGCATTCATCGGAAAGAATAATTTTAATGTTTCGTTTTGTATACCATTTCAGAAACACATTGACAATTATTGTGATGAAATAATATAATAAAAGATGTTTAATCGAAAATGTCATAGCTATAAGTGTTTTGTGTTAAAAAACTATATTTCAACAATGCAACCAAGTAAATGGTTATTTCATTTCAGTAATAATTACCATAACTTTAGTAGGCTTATACAATACTTACACCCATCGTTGTAGCCCAAAAACAAAAGATTCAAATAGCCCTACCTCCCTACCGTGACGTAACCCATATATCGACGACAGAGTCACGGAGTGATCTCCCTTCCTCTTCCTTTTATGGCGCCTACTGCCTGCTGACGGCCCGGAGCTTGTTCCATATGAAAACTTTGTTTTGTCGGTTTGGTTTGAGTGTCAACTCAATTTAGTAAAGATGGGTGTAGGTATTGTATATGCATACTAAAGTTATGGTAAGTATTACATCATGAAAATTGGTTTTACTTCAAAAACCTCAAAATTAATGACAATCTACTGCATGTGAACCTTAATTCGAATTCAAAATCGATAAAACTGACAAACTATAAATAAAGAAAAGGTTAACATGCAAACCCTTGTACTTTAAAAGTAGAACAAGATCGAGCATGTTTTCTGCTTCATCGACTACATCGTTATGCACGAAAGTAAGGAATAAAATAGAAGTGACATTGAAAACGAGAGGCACCCTCATTAGCATAATGAAAACTCAACACTCAGATCTAACATGGAAATGAAACATGTCATAAAGATACCTTGGTTGCATCCATAAAAATTATCAATCGTCAACAGTCAAGGGAACTTCACGACCGGAAAATTAAAACCTCTTACGCTTATCGGACAGCCTGTTGGAAGCTGGATGAAAGCGTCTGATGACATCGAATATTGATAAAGAAATGAGATTATCAAAACACAAGCTTATATTGATTAAATGTCTACTTTTTGACTTATCAAATAGCATTGCCATTAAAACATAGATAAAGGCACTGAACTCTTTCACCCCTATGTAACTTTAGTGGACTCAACGATACATTGATATGGATGAGTCCATTATGGTCTACAGTGGTGAAAGGTTTACTCTGCAACGTTTGCCTTTTAACTACAAAAGTTATTCGAGAAATCCTTGATAATGTCATAGCATGTAATTTGCATATTATTGTCGTAGCCATATAATCTGCCAGTGGAATTAAATGCATTTTATTTCCTTATATTAAATTATCATGTTAAATATATGTATGACTATTGTCTTCTGTAAAAGTGGCTTTACTTGCATAGCTACATAGATACATGTAAACAAATTTCATTATCATATTTAGTTGTCTGGCTACATGGTTATGGAAGAAAAAAGGTTCAATAAAGTTCCTTGACAACATATTTAGTGAACTCAGCATACCTTAATTGTATCAAATGGTACTGTTCTCAACTTTAAGATCAAAATTCTTCTTTAGACTTCTACGGGTTTCTTAAAGCTCTTAAATTCATATTCATATTTTAAAAATATTTACTGTAGTAACGAAACATACATATATATTCCACACACTAGTTTTCCTCGATCTTTACTTACAACTGACCAACAGGAACGGCTTACTTCTTAACTGTTTGATAAGCGCGACAATTTCGATTTTCCGATCGAGAACTTGCCCTTTCTTTACAGTTTCAACTCTGGATCCCCTACCTACGGTTTATCATTGTCGCAGTTAATTCTTTACACAAGAACTTGCTCCGATTATCATGACGTCGGTAACAGATGTCGACTGCTGAAGGAGAAACTTCACAACACAGGATTCCCAAAGATGCAGGTTGATGAATAAAATTAAGTTTTATGGTTGCCATCAGGATCTTGCAAGGAGTTATGCTTTTTCCTAGTGTGATATGAAAGTCGATGTTTTCGTCTTAGTGTGCCTTATGTTTTTTTGACACTTCCTGAGTTTTCGATGTACAACATAACTTCGATTTGACTTAAAGTTATATGGGTGGAGCGACGATGAAGCAGAAAACGTTTACCCTTCCACAACACCTGGCCTTACGCTTTATCGATTTTAAGTTTTATTACAACGAATTATGGTTTTGTTAACACTTTTTTTTTTAGTTTTTTTTTTACTGCATGTTGTTGATTGGAATTCTGCTAATTTACACCTGTCTTTTAAATATTAATTTTGCAGGAAATGTTTCCTATTAAATAAAAACGGGATCTAACAAAAGCATCACTTGAAACCACCTGAAACTAGGTTTATTGTAGTGCCAAACATTTTAGTGTTAGAGTCTTGGCCATTGATAGTTTGACATACTTATTGACATCACCACATGTCCGTGTCACCTTGTAATGATGGTTGTTCCAGACTGACCGAAGAAATGCAACTCTATTCCCCTGTTAATCGATTGGTAATGCGTATTTCTCTTATTATTACCTTCTATTGTCAAAACACCGTTTGATGATTTCTAAATAAACAACTTAGCATTCTAGCCTATCAAGCAAGTATAAACATTGCCTACAGTCTGGTGGAAAATCTTATCAACGAACTCAGCAGAATCATTGTCAGCCACCCAAATCATTCTCAAAATATCGTCCCCAGTGTGTTTCATGTTGGCCATTGTAGTGATGTTCACAAAATATGCTCCGAAATAATTTACAACCATATATTTAAATGGCCGTTCGCCATTCTTTGAAAGGAAAGCTCTCATAACAAGAAACGAAGGCGTTTCTTCAGTTTGGTATGAGGTATGGTTATGTAAAACGAACGATGTGATCTTTATAAAGTTCTGAATTAAATCTTTATTAGACGAACTGACTGGAGAATACATTTATGTTGTGATTATTGTTGAGTGATGAATTTAATTTTTGACAGACTAAATAATTAAATAAGATACATGTGTTGTAATGAAGTTGAAATACTTGTCGTGGGTTTTGACAGTTGACGTAATGCAAACATTGTATACGGTTTAATATAAAGACACAATAGCATTTCTAACGAATTTGAATACATATCCTTTAATTTCTCGATCCGCACATTATAAAGATATTAATAAAATATCGAATTAACTATGAAACAAGGCTTAGTCATATATGAAATTGTTGTCCTACTATTTGTACATAATAAATACAATTCATTAGTATCGGGTTGCTATTTGATCGTCTGTATTTCATGAAGACATTATAAATATATCAAAATTGTTATCTGAATGGCTACGTTGAAATTTGGCGAATGCATGCAATCATATTTCCATCATTCCTGAATACCTAATTAAATTAACGCATAGTGAACAAGGTAGTACACATCACTAGCCTCTGAGGTGCCTCCGGTTCACTTCCCTGATGACTCCATTGCACTTTCACGATATCTCCGGTTCACTTTTGTTTTAACTCTAGTGCACTACCATGATATATGCAGTTCACATATGTGTTAAGTTCAGTGCACTAACATGTAATCTCCAGTTCAATACAGTGTTAACTGCAGTGCACTATCATGTCAACTCCAGTTCACTACTGTGTTAACCCTCCTTCATATGACTGAAATCACGGTTTCAATAATTGTTTATAACGAAAACATAAATTTATTTATGAATTATATGAAGAAGTGACTGAACCAGAAAAAAATATATAATTAATTTTAAAATATATTTTAACATGTAACTTGAATAGCGATATACGATCCTGCAGTTATTACCATAGAAAGCTTATATTCCGATCTCCCGAACCTGAATTATTTAGAATGCAAAATGTTGTGATTTGTTATGGTTGGTCAAAGAGTAAAATGTCATGGTTGAAATACCATAACTTTGCAGTGAGACGCATGTGATCAGACTTCAAGTTATCAATAGTTTATATCTGTATATGTTTGGCCTTCAGAAAGGTGCAGACTTGCACTTCCTCGTTACCGACCGACTTTCATTACAGTTCTTACCTTAATGGGTCAGCGTTTTCTATAAACTGCCACACATCTGTTTTGGATTACACAAGTAACAAGAAGGAGCAGCAAGTAAGTATTAAAAACATCTAATGGCATTCGAAAGTGTTTAATGTCCGTATGACTTTGTTAATGTTAATCTTCTGTAACATTATATTGTTTAAGAGATTAACTTTTTTAGATTCGTTATTGTAGGATTTTTTATCGCGTCTTTCACTCAATAATAAGCCCTCGCTTTAATACTGCGATGATAACACAAAACATTTCATTTTGATAATAATAATATATATGTTATTGTGACATCATTAAGTCATTCGAAATCTTAACGAGTCATTTTAAAACCAATCATAATTTTTTTACAAAAAGGGTTTCATGATCTGGTATGATTATTTTTAATCAGTGTTGACCGAGTTTTAAAGTTTCTGTTGTTTTTAGGTATAACGCGCAATTTGAGGATTTGATTGTATTGAAATCCATTGAGTCTATAGCGTATTGATGTTCTCTGTGTTATCTTAATGACATGTAACTCGTTGTTTTTGTCGAAATAGGTTTCTATTTTTGATTAAACGAATTATAAATCCAGCATAAACATTATTCACTACACGCCGGTCGTTCAAGCAATTTTGTATTGGTGTGAATTACAGATTTATTGAACTACTTAATTCAATTGTAAAACAGACGATGGTAATTGATCGTTGTTTTAGTTTTAAATTAGATTCTTCTTTTCCTATTTTTAGTTTGCAATGTGCTGAACCATTATTTATATTCCAAAGGCCAAAAGGGCTTACGTTAAATTCAGCTTGATGTGGAACATATTTTGATGCTGTTAAACTTTCAAAAAATGTCATTTGCTATATATTATTTGCAAAACTCTTTTATTGTAATAATATATTGTAATATTCGGATACACATATATAAAGATCTGCAACTTCACGTTAGCCTAGTTTTTGTTTAGTTACCTGTACTATACAACAACAAAAAATGATGCTAAAAAAACAATACTAGTTTAGCAACCTACAATATACATGCATTTCTATTGAAATTTACTATTTTAAATAATGTTGAATAGGCGTGCCAGTGTATTTTCTAACAGTTCTTGTTTTACATTATACTGTCAATTCCGTCCTCAGTGGCCTCTCTGATTCTTGTCTCCGGATTGCTGTTTTATCACATTTGCTTAGGTAAGTAACTAAGATATCGTTAAGGGCAATTTATTATGTCAATAATAAGTGTTATTCTTTTAATATTTTCAAATAGTTTAAAGAAGTACTTGGTTTAAAGGCCGAACATTTTATAAAAGAAAGAATATTTGATCATATTTCGATAACCCTACATCCGATAGGACGTAATTTTGTTTTTCGATTTTAAGGTTACGAACAAATAAATCAAGCAAATTACACAGTGTAAGATGATAACTCATTTTAGAAATCCTTATTAAACTCTAGCAGAATGATAGGAGCCTTAAGATGTAACATGGAGTGGATGAATCGACTGAACGGATATTTGCATATATAATCCCGATATACCGACGCAAATCTCAAGAAACCGCTGCAATGACATTCCCATCATATGAACAACTGAAAGTATTTTTTTATTATTTTCTCTGCTCATTTTTAGAAAATAGGTCAGTCTGCCAAACGTAAGTGACGACAGTTACAATAAAAACCAGGTTTTCGGAGTGGGACTTTGACAACATTGACAATCAAAATCATAACTTCATATACAAATAACAAATTTGTGAAAGGCATATCGCGAGCATAATTGTTTGTTCGACGACAAATCAAACGGCGTGATACATGCCGTCCTAGAATAGTATATAAAAATCGTTGATTAAGTCTTAATATCATCACACACTTTTTTCTTCGTAGTTTACAATTGTGTTGTTGCGTCTTTGAATAAAAGTACATGTATGTCCTTGTCGTAAACTTAATGTTTCCGCAAAAATGCTGCCTGATTTTCAATATTTGTTGATAATTTTCTCGGACGTCTCAAAAAGCGTAAAAAAAATATAGTAAGAGTTGAAAAGTAGTGGAATGTTTCGTTCACTATCTCAGAATCTTAGATGTCACCTAAAAAGGGATCAACAGTAACCGTAAACTTGACACCAGCTAGTACATTCAATTGGGGTTTTCTGACATATTGATGGGTTTTTTTTCAAGGAATAGAGAATTTCTAACTTGTTTTTAACGTTAAGGTTATTGTGTTTTTATACATTCACTGAAGGTTCCTGTACTGTTTTCTCTTACACTTCAGTATTCACGGCTGGCCCGCAGTGCTTTGAATGTTCATCAACTCCTCGACTAGAGTTTTGTGATTACTTTACACAATGTGAGGAAGGGGAGGTAATATTCTTTATTGTATTCTATTTTCATGTGGTTTCATTTATTATTCCCTCTGCAGCCTCTGGGGATATCCCACACCATATGAGGCGATCAATGTTCCCAATAACTATATTACATGTGAAGTACTGTAGATTTAAATAAGCCACTGAGGAATCAGTGTTTCTTTTTTATCATCCGCTTAGGGAAAACATTTTAAAGACCAAAACAACGCTCACATAACAGTTTCTTGATTTTAAACTTTTTTTTTTATTTTGTTAAATCTTTTCATTTTGCGCAGAAATGTTACGTACAGAAGATACGTACACACAATGGCCACGATCAGTACAAGTCTGGGTGTGTCAACAACCGAGTAAGTTACGTAAATATAGCCACTGTTTCGTAAATTGATGGCGGATCAGGTACATCTAGTCTTTTTATAACCTGTATATAGTTAACCACGTATTTCTAGCCCTTGTTTTGTATACCCTCACATATAATAAATATAATAATTGTTTCGTATACATTTTGTATGGTACCTAACGTTTTTCAAGTATATTTTTCGCCTACCTTGTACATGATAAGTAACGAATCTATTGCCATTGTTTCGTATAACTTGTGTATGGTGGCTCACGTATCTCTAACCATTGTTTCGTATACTTTATTTATGGTATATCACGTACATATATATTTATGTGATTTATGAAACATACATGATTATGCATCGCTTACAACATGCAGTTGACTTTGCGGTTTAGACTTCAACAAATAAATCTGTAATTAAAGTTCAGACTAAGGAGTTAAGAAAATCACAATATACTGTCTTTAATTACCTTCGTCCAACAATAATGATGACATTTTATTTTACAGAGCTGCTCTCTAGATATGAATTTCCATGGATCGTTTGGAGAACTATCGCCGTACGGACAGTTGACTTGTGTAGAGTGTTGTGACGGAGACATGTGTAACAACCAGGGCTGTAGGGATACGGGTTCGTACTTAATTGAATCTGAACATCTATTTTACTAAGGGGAAAGAAGAATTACGTCTTACGTCTTATCATTTGAAGACTGCTAAATACGCAATATTATTTTTAATGAATTGACAACGCCATTGAAGTGTTTGCATATATCTTCAATGTTATAACTGACAATAATACTGTCAATAAGCAGGATTGAATTAGGTTAACATGAAAAAGCACAAATTGACTCATATCTAACGTAACATATGCAGTCATAACATGTTTTAAAGACTTACAAATAATCTATTCACAGCTTGTATTTCTTATCTTTTCACGCTGTCATCTATTCAGAATTTATCAACTTTCTGATCAAGTATAGCTCTTTACATCCTTTTTCTTCTCTTGATTTATTGCTAGTTTTATGAACATCCTTTAACTTAATGTACGATTGTCGATTGGAAAACATTAATAAAGAAAACAATTTTTCCTAACCACAAATAACACTTTCCTGTGAAAAATAAATAGTTCCGGAATTACCTTTCGTTAAGGAGCTGTCATTACATTTTTTTTCAATTCACATTCAAGCATATTACCTTACCCAGGTATGTTATGTTCCAAGAACACTTTCAGTCTTTCAAGTTAAAAGGTGGTAGACTCTGCTAGTGGATTTTTTAGTCCCCGAGGTTTGCCGAAACCTTGATGGTCACAGTGGTCTCTTGTCAATAGTGACATGGTTCATAATATCCTCACTTTACTAGTTCTTATTAATTTGAAATTAACCAGTACTCTTCTAATTTTTGAAGTTGATATACTTAACGGTTTTTACACACCTCACGTTCTGTTTCAATAGTTTATACCCATTTCGATTTCGGACTTTTCGGCCCCTAGTATCACCAATCAGTCCTTGAAGGAAAACACACCGGTATGGTAATTCATTTTTAGCATGTTGTATGTTTTGCCGAAGTTTAAAGTTGCAGTCACATATGTGTGTGCAAGGAACATCTTTCTAGATCTATCTAATACAGCAACGTAGTATTTTATATTCGTCCATTGTAGCTTTGTTACAGGTATTATCATGCATACTTCTGTTCGGAAATATACTGCAGACTAATGTTGTTAAACTTATATCATTTACCTTTTTTTCTAAATCTCATGACATATTTATGATTTTTTTTGTTTTATTGAAAAATCAATAATTTGAAATTGATATTCTGGATTCGTCTCCAAAATCACTGTAACGTCCTTGTCTAATTTCTCCGGACTTTCACAGGACCACCACCGAGAGAATCACGTGGGCCCTACTGTTACCAGTGTCAACACATGCCAGACCCAAGCTACTGTGAAAGACTCACTATCTGTGATAGTAATGAAGTAAGATTTATTATGTTATTCGTCTAAATAAAATAATAATAATTCGATTTCGCTATATCATCACTTTGAATGTAAATGTGCATGCGAGTTTACACAACAGGGTGTCTATTTCACGTGACAAAAATATCGACCTGTATCGTACGGGGCTGTAAGAGACGACTACTTTAGAACTCTCGGCCCGAGTTTTTTCGTGTCCTCATTTGCGGACAAGGAATGGGTTATAATTAATCTGGTGTCCTGTCCCAGTACAATATTTATACATGTTTTATTTTTCTCCCTTTTACATGCTTTTTGTTTGAGTGTCTCCCTTTGCATTGTTACTGCCTCCAGGTTTTGATATTTTCGTGCGATAGTGCATTAAGATAAACTCTCAACTAAGAATAATAAATTTATAAACAAGTTACGTCCTTTATTAGAGTCAACTATGACTGAGGTCACTGACCCCGAGTAATCCCGTCACGTCATGAAATTGATTGTTGATAACTTACGTCACAGATAATATCTTGACCCGAAAACTTCAGTATAGATCTGCATCGCTTTGATTATTTATGAAAATGTGACTTAGATTTCGGAAAAACGCAGAAGAGTGACAAAAAATCATTGTGTTACGTAGTGATACGTACTGTGGCAAATTTTAGGTCATAATGTTCAGTGTACTTGTTAAGCGAAAACACAATAGGGCTTTCCATCCCATAATGAATTCTTTTTTATAAGGTTTATATAATTTTTCACAATTATATGAATCAGTGTTTTTGAAGGCACAGTTATTTGTACGCATTGAGTCTTAATGCGGGGGGTAACCGGATAACCCTGAGAAAATAAACGAGGTCGGGCAGGTGACTTCATATCATGTACGCCCGATCGGAGAATTGTGTCCTTTAAAAATGAAAAATAGAATGTTACAATCTTTACATTGTTTAATCAAGAAAGACCTGTGTTTAATATCTACGCAAAATATAGTAGATCAAATTGAATTCATCAGCATCAACTTTTTCTAGGTTTGTACTATTGATGAAACAGTTTCATTTGGACATCAGTTCTCAAGCGGATGCCGACGAAAAGGAGTAAGTATAACTAAATTTCTGTATTAATTTCTTACACCGTATCTGTGAAGCATTTTTGTAAATTTCGCGGTAATTGCAGGAGGGAGAATAGGTTTTTTCGTGTTATTTGCTCTAAATTTTGTACGGCGCTATTAATAAAAGAACATCTTTCATGAGTACTTGTATAGGAGATCGAGTCGGCTAGTTCATGTCTTGTTGCAGTTATAGATCAGATCAGCTGTTCCTTATATACTTCTTACAGTTGGTCATTATACACCTCAGTAAACGAAAGCTTCTTCTGGTAGCCTATACAACTAAATTACAACTGTCTACGCAGATCTGAATAATCACGTGTATCTACTGTATTTATACATAAACCTCGCAGGGGGCAACCGTAAATTTCATTAGAGGTCAGCATTTTGCTTGAAGAAATGTGATAGGTACATTTGATTGAAATTGATTATTGCATTCAAAGGTACATTGCTTCCTGAAGTATTTGTCCATTTCTCCCGGTGGACATGACTCCTGTTATATGTACTTGATTTTTCAGTAAGACACTTTACCACTCATTGTTTCATGAAGAAATGACTGGAAATATATATTCACCCAAAACATAAATATTTCAATCTAGTTAAATTTTATTTATTTCTGTTTTATGATTCATGTAGTAGGCCACAAGTTTCAAATCTCATGACAACATCAGTTTCAGCAATCTTCATTGATTTGCTCGAGGTGATTCTAAGAAAATCATTGTAACAAAAGAAGATACACACCAGACCATGTTTATATTGACAGGAGTGCTTACACGAAGGCCTGCTGGTGGGTAGGGATATTGATAACCTGACGAGATCGTTCCAACTCTGTCATAAGTGTTGTTCTGACGACTTCTGTAATCAAGATTGTCAGGATCACCACCAGCAGGGTATGATTTTCGTTCCGGCACGGTTTATAAGGAGCACAAGTTTCAAAAAACATGAATTATCTTCCGGTTCCATCTTGTGAATTTGTAACGTTGGAGGGTTTTCGGCACTTTTTTCTTTCGCTCTGTACGTACATATTTTTTCAAAACACGTTTGACTTGAATTTTCATCCTCTTTAACTTAAGTATCACTGATAAGTCCTAAATAAACGAAATGGCAATATGGTCATCGCAAAAATCGCATTTTCTTAAATAAGCGCTACCTTAAATGGCATTTCAGGTGATTCGTTCTAAAATAATAATATTGATTTAAACGTCATGACATATTTTTCATCGATATTTTTGCTTCTTTCTTTCTTTAGCTATTCAAACAGCTGATACAGATATTGAAATACTACTTGCCGTTATTAAGAATATTTTACATAGTTAACAGTATCTCGTTTTCCCTTCTATTATTGTACAGAGGTGGTATTCTGGAGCGCCTGGAGTCCGTGGGGTACGTGTTCGGCTCATACTTGTGGCAGTCATGGACATCAGATTCGGAACCGATCTTGTACAAATGTCAAAGGAGACATAACATCACAAGGGTGTGAGGGTGTACCTAGAGAGGAACGTCACTGTTCAGGTATAATAATATCTGTACAAGTATAGTTTTAATTACACATATCATTACCATATGTTTCTGTTGTGGTGGTCATATGATTAAATTGAATTCGATACAAGTATGCCATACCCTTTGAAATGTTACATATATTCAGATATAAAACTACATGTAATACTCTATTCTAATATAAGACATCCATTATTAACAACAGAAGTTGTTTTTTGAAATCCTATCGATCAATCTTATACATTTATTGCCTTTGTGGTAGGGAAATACAAGTTGTAGTTGGTCTTGCCGATTTCTTCTAGAGAGTTTCCGAATAAGGGAAATATGATCGAGAAGACTCGCGCGCGTGATGGCGATATGTTATTGCCCCGTCATGTAATCATTATCAGACACCCTTTAAAAAGGTGAGGTATAATAACAATTGTTCACTGTATTACTGTTTTCCATCCGAAGTTTGACGTCAACTAGTCTACCCATTCCATTAACCATTGCGCGTGAATGCAGGATAAATATCAAATTACATATACACCGGTAACCGATGTGTCCACATAAATATAAACCTTCAAACGCATTCAAATCAAAATATTAATATTAAATCAATAAAATAACACGAGTATGACGGTACCTTATCACCTCCTAACCCTTTTTTCCGCGAGTGACGCTTGAACATTCCATAATTTGTTACACTTTTCTTCGTGAAGGTTGTGTCGAGTTGTACAACAACGGAGAGCGTACCTCAGGTATTTATACCATAGCCCCGGCCGGACACAAGCCCCTGGACGTCGTCTGCGACATGACTGATGGAGGAGGTTGGACTGTTCTTCAACACCGGCTTTACGGTTCAGTCAGCTTCAATCGAAGCTGGACTGATTACGTCACTGGTTTCGGTGATCTACGTGGCGATTTCTGGCTCGGATTGGATAACATCCACATCCTGACGTCGCGGGGGGTCCACGTCATCATTGATATGACTACAAAGGCAGGAGAATTAGTACGTTACAGTTACGATCACTTTCAGGTGAAGAACGAAAGTACGTCCTACGAGCTGTCAGTTTCCGGTGATACCTCTGTGAATTGTACAGACGGAGAAAGACTACTATATAATAACGGTTACAGGTTTGCCACTCCTGACAGACCGGATGCACATAACTGTTCTATTCATGGCTCGGGATGGTGGTTCAGTTATTGTTCGTATTTCAATATAAACGGTATTATAGATTTGTCTAATTTGAATTATGGAATGACAGTGGGCTGTCCACTAGTAAGTTTACTTAACGAAACACTCATGAAAGTAAGATGATTAATTCTAGTGACACTTTAAGAATGAATTGTTACTACAAATTACTATGACGCAAACGAAACAAAAATTGTTTCCAGAGAAAATGCTGACAATTAAAATAAAATCGCCTTAAGCATACTGTTCGTTATCAGCCGTCCATATAACTAAACAGGTGCATATTTAAATGAATAACGAGTTTTTTGTATTATGATTTCATGCAATGAACGGTTAATTAAATACCTTAAAATATTTCAGTTCATAAGGGCTTGTTTAAACGTTATATGTACATCGCTTTGTAAAGTGTAATAGGTTTAAATTTCTGAATGTCTCGTTTATTCACGTTGCCGAATTATTGCACTTTGAGAAAGTGATACTGTATAGCATTTCTAATTTAATACTTTCATCTTATGATATAGATATTGTTAAATCAATCAGTTAAAAATAAACTTCAAGGAAAAACAGATATTAACACTATGTGTAGAAATAGTTCTGTATATAATTAAAGCTACATATATCTCCTCCCTTCTGATCTCTGTATAACCAGGGTAAAATTTTAAAACGGTATTTTATACAATATTCTTGTTTCTTAATGCATGTATTCCCTTTTCTGTATTAGGACATAACAAATGATGAACTAAGAAAGGATTATTATCAGGATTTAAAAATATGATGCCTTATGATCTGAGCACATGTGTATTTGTATAGCAATTGTTTTCTCAATTACTGTAACACGGTTGGGCACCCCCTGCAGAATTCGGGATTCGCTTTCGTGCCCTCTACTTGTGGACAAATAGCGACCAAAATAAATATGCTGCACCTTTCTCTCTATTTTTATCTACCTTTTTTCCTAACGCATTGCTTGGCAATGCTTCACTTTTGGCTTTAATGTTGAACGTTCGCCCAGGTGAGGAAGGCAATGGGTTCTGTCCCCAGGCCGGGACATACCAAAGTCCTTAAAAATGGCAGTTAATTGTTATTCCCTGCTTACGTTCAGCATTAAGGGTGATGGCAACAACTGGTTTACTCGTTGCCAGTATAATGTGACCGGGTGGAAATGTGTGCTAGGTGCCTTCGTCATGGTATTTCAGTGAGATAGCACTATAAAGTCGTCATCATTACATTTCAAATAAATATTGTTTAGTCAGCATATTAATATTTCATGATGACCTTTGGAATTAATATGAAAACAAGTAGTTCTATATGGCGAATTTATTCCTATAGTCCAAAACAGAATGCATATTCGTCGCACGCGCCATTTTCTAAAAATGTAAACAAAACACAGACATTTGAGTTTGAATTACGGCGTTCTAGTGCTTTTTTGAACTTCAAAACTAATCATCTGTGGACAAATAAATGTTTCATGTCTATCTATTTTGAATTGACATCATTGTTATATTTAAAACTATTTTTGCAAAAAGTAATCCGATTTGGGTACTGATCCGATTTGGATCACAGATTTGTTCTCACCCTGATACATCAAGGGAAGGACTTACAATATATATATGTATCTATGTTTAAAATGTCAATCTCTTTTTCAATGACATGTTTTTTCACTGTTTAGCAGATAATTCAATTCTAAACGGTAAAGATTGGTTGTTTTAGACCAAATGTAATAACACTTGTCCAAGAAAATGAGTTTTTTGTAGCGCAGGTATATTCCAGGTAAATATTCAGGTGAACACTACATGTAACTAACCATTTCTTCATAAAAACACACCTGACCATTGTTGTAAATTATGTAATCATTCAAAGAACAACTCATTGCATTGGATCATGGGTTCACTACTCGAAAGTGATGCAATCGTTGCAATGGACTTCGACATCATAAGAAAATATCACGTTTGAGGAGCTCGTTGGATCTATACCGTATTCGTTTCCCGATTCATCTGAATTTGTATTTGGTTGATGTAACCATTGGTAATTAGCTTGACTTTGGTTCGGTTTGTTTGTGTTTTACGTCCTATTAACAGCTATGGTCAAGTAAGGACGTGCCAGGTTTTAATGGTGGAGGAAAGCTAGAGTTCTCGGAGAAAAAACACCGACCTACGACCAGTACCTGGTGACTGCCCAACGTCAAGGTCTGGCAACCGCGGCCCTAGGCTATTAGCTTGAGGACTTCATATAATTATTAATAATTTGTCACAAATTCGACTCTTTAAAGCTGTTCGAACCCACTATTGCGGCGCTTCAGTAACGCTGATATTTCATAAAAAGTCGAATTTTCTAACAAGGAGTTTGATAGCATTAACATATTTCAAAGCTTCAACATAAGACCGCAGTTTCCAAGCGTTTCAACTACATCCACACGCTACACCAAACAAACAGAGTTTGGGTGACCATATGATGATTTTCCCTACATCAGTCTCTACATTACTAACTTGTATGGTCAAACTAGACACGCTGTAACCGACAATCTAAATATGATTCCTAATATAAAGCTGCGAGAGTTTCCATGAACGTTTTCCAAAGTAGCTAGAGACTCGTACGACTGAATATGAAATAGACTATGAAATAACTTTAATAGGATTTAATAGGAAAAAGATGGACGCATGCAATTATCTGCCACTATATCCATATCAATGACACAATGCATAGATTGTACATATACATATAATTCATTAACATTAACATTTTAACATACTTGATCATATTTCATATCTATATTTTTCAAGCGTTCATCTAAATTGACCTTTGCATTCTTTAAATGTAGTTGAGTCTATTAAATCTACTTGGGAAACTATTTCATATTCTTCTTGTCCTGCAGTTGAAACTGAATTTTCTCATATCTAAATTGCAGTAGTTTATCTCTATTTTTTGTGAATGGCCGCGAGTTCTTGATAAATTATCGTGTACAAAGAGTCCAATAACGTTTGATTGTGTGGAAGGCTATTTTTAAACAATGGACAAAACGAGATAATGTTTAATTAAATTGATTTTTCAATTAACTAACTTCAAATATCTACAAGATACATTTGTGGTAATGAAGTTGAAATAATTGTCGTGGATTTCGACAATGGACGTAATACAAACATTATATACGGTTTAATATAGGGGCACAACAGCATTTCTAACGAATTCGAATACATATCTTATAATTTCTCGATCCGCATATTTTTTTTTTTATATAAACCAAATATCGAATTAACTACGAAACAAGGCTTAGTCATATATGATACTGTTGTCCTACAAAATGTACATAATAAATACATATTATTAGTATCAGGTTGCTATTTGATCGTCTGTATATCATGAGCACATTTTACATATAACAAAATTGTTATCTGAATGACTACATTGATATTGGCGAATACATGAAATCATATTTCCATCATACCTCGATACCAAGGTAGTACACAAGACTAGCCTCTGGGATGCCTCCGGTTCACTTATGTGATACTCCATTTGACTACCATGGTATCCCCCGTTCACTTCTGTGTTAACTCCAGTGCACTATCATGTTATCTCCAGTTCACTACTGTGTAAACTGCAGTGCATTATCATGATATCACCGGTTCACTTCTCTGTTAACTCTCTATCATATGACCTAAGTAATGATTTCAGTTATAGTTTATAATAAAAAAAAAAGTTTATGATAATAAATATGAAAAAAATGAATGAACCCAAAATGTGTTTGATCAAGTTTTAGATATATTTTACATATGATTTTAATAACAATATATGATCATGCAGTTAGGTACCGCAGACCAATTATATTCCGATCGTCCATTATTATTTAGGTTGTAAAACCATTGTCGTGACTTGTTATATCTGTACATATTTGGCCTTCAGAAAGGTGATGACTTACACTCCTTTGTTACCGACTGACTTTCAGGACTGTCTTATCTTGACGGGTCAGCAACTTCTATAAAATGTTATACATCTGTTTTTGACTACACAGGTAACAAGAAGGAGCAGAAAGTAAGTGTTTAAACATATAATGACATTCGATAGTACTTAATGTCTGGATGACTTTGTTATTGAACAGTTGTATCATCTGTGAAAGTATGCTGTTTAAAATGTTAATTCTCTATGAAATACTGTAATAAGAACACGTAAAAACATATTTTCATATTTCATGTTTTGCCAAAAACAGCTTTTGACTTGGTTAAAGTTTTGAGCATTTTAGGTTTTCAATATTACAAGTTTTAGGCATTGGTTTAGACGGTAAGCAATGTGCTGGACCATTATTCATTTTATAAGGGCCAAAAGGGCTTACGTTAAATTCAGCTGGATGTGGAACATATTTTGATGCTGTTAATTTTACTAACAATACCAGTTGAGCAACCGACAATATACATGCATTTCTGTTAAAATTTACCATTTTTATTCTCTAATAGCTCTTGTTTTACTTTATACTGTCAATTCCGTCCTCAGTGGCCTCTCTGATTCTTGTCTCCGGATTGCTGTTTTATCACATTTGCTCAGGTAACTATATAACTAAGATATCATCAAAGGCAATTTATTAGGTCAATAATAAGTGATATTCTTTAAATATTTTAAAATACCTTAATGAAGTATTGCATATTTTAAAAGCAGTATCATATTTGATAGGCCGAACATTTTATAAAGAATATTTATTCATAGTACGATAACCTACATCCGATGTTTCTGGATTTTAAGGTTACGAACAAATAAATTAAGCAAATTACACAGTGTAAGATGATAACTACTAAGTTTAGAGATTGGGGGCGATATTTGCATATATAATCCCGATATACCGACGCAAATCTCAAGAAACCGCTGCATTGACATTCCCACCATATTTCAATTAAGCAACAACAACTGAAAGTATTTTTTTATTATTTTCTATGCGTATTTTTAGAAAAAAAGGTCAGTCTGCCAAATGTAAGTGACGTAAGTTATAATTAAAGTGAGGTTGAACTATAGTGAGTTTTTCGGAGTGGGACTTTGACGTCATTAACAATCGAACTCAGGACTTCATATACAAATGAGAAATTTGTGAAAGACAAATCGCAAGCTTTATTGTTTGTTCGACGGCAAATCAAATGGCGTAATACATTTGAAATGAGTAAAACAAATACTGTATTCGCCATGTCGTCCTAGAAAAATATATCAAAATAGTTGATTTAGCCTTAATAAGAGCGTAGCTCTCAAGGCGCCCGATCGAAGCTCTTTAATGGTAACACATGCGTGCGTAAACAGAGTTGCTTCCCCTTGCTACACCTTGCCTTTAATTTGTTTCGTCCGGAAGTAGACGTCCAGTTGGGAAACAGGAAGTGTATCCTTGAAGCAAAGACGATTGTGTTTCAACACAAACATGAACATCTTCATATAGTGAAAACAATACCCATGTTTTATTACGTGTTAATTTAGGTAAAAACTAATATACATTCTGAGTGAACAAAATCTATCACATAAATGTTGATTCTAGCAGGCATGAAACGTCGTTCAGAGATTATCATACTATTACGTCACAAGCACGTCACACTCCATCGGCCTTCATCGGTTATTTCCGGAAGGATGAAAAATAACCGGAAAATCTTAGAACTGATGGCCGTTACATTCACACTTTGTCGGTGCGTCATGAGTTTTTAATTTCAGTTTTTGCCACAGGCACAAAAAGTAAAAACGTGAATGTTTTCTGAAGATCCTTTTTGTCATCAACCAGGTTCTGTTAATATTTCTACCGGGAGATATTTTCAAAAAGAGCCGCATTAAACCAATAGGTCAACATGTACATTTATTGTTCATCGTCTAAAATCGTCATAATTAAGCTGATTCCAATGAGGCCGAATTTACCCGAATACCTGTCCGAACTTATCCCATGTCGGGCTCGTTCGGCCATCCGATCTTCCGACAGGGAAAATTAAATAATATTCAAAAACGGACGTGCTGCCATACTTCCCAAAACGGACTTTAAAATAAGGCCGAATTTGCCCCATTGTGAATCAGTAAATATCAGAGATCAACAAAAGTTTCGCTCTTTTAAGGCTTTGCATTTTCATATTATCATCACACTTTTTTTTTTCTTCGTAGTTTACAATTGTGTATAGAAGTACCTATATATCTTAGTCGTAAACTTAATGTTACCCCAAAAGGCTGCTTGATTTTTCAATATTTGTTGATGATATCCTCGGACGCCTCCAAAAGCGTAACAAACCATAGTAAGAGTTGGAAAGTAGTGAAATGTATCGTTTACTATCTAAGAATCTTAGAAATCACTTTAAAAACTTTAAAACTGTAACAGTAAACTTGACACCAGCTAACACATTGAATTGGGGTTTTCTGACATATTAATGTTTTTAAGCAATAGAGAATTTCTAACTTGTTTTTAACGTTTAGGTAATTGTGTTTTTATATATTCACTGAAGGTTCCCGTTCTGTTTTCTGTTACGCTTCAGTATTCACGGCTGGCCCGCAGTGCTTTGAATGTTCATCAACTCCTCGACTAGAGTTTTGTGATACCTTTACACAATGTGAGGAAGGAGAGGTAATACCTTCATACAGTATTCTATTTTCATGTGGTATCATTTATTATTCCTCCTGCAGCATCTGGGGATATCCCACCACATATAAGGCGATCAATGTTCCTAATAACTATAGTAAATTTAAGTATGACACTGATGAATCAATGTTTCTTATTTATCATCCGCTTAGGGGAAACGTTTTGAAGACCAAAACAACGCACAAATTAAAGTTTCTTGATTTTAAACTATTTTTTTTATTTTGTCAAAACGTTTAATTTTTTGCAGAAATGTTACGTACAAAAGATACGCACACACAATGGCCACGACCAGTACACGTCTGGATGTGTCAGCAACCAAGTAAGTTACGTAAATATAGCCACTGTTTCGTATTTCGATGGTGAGTAAGGTACATTTAGTCATTTTATACCCTGTGTATGGTTAGTCACGTATTTCTAGCCATTGTTTCGTATACCGTCACATATAATAAATTTCTAGTAACTGTTTAGTATACATTTTGTTTTCGCCTACCTTGTACATGAAAAGTTACGTATCTATAGCCATTATTTCGTATAACTTGTGTAGGGTGGGTCACGTATCTTTAACCATTCTTTCGTATTCTTTATTTATGGTATATCACGTAAATATATTTTTCTATAATAAGTATGACATACATGATTATACATTGCTAACAACATGCAGTTTAGTCTGCGGTTAAGACCTCAACAAATAAATATGTAATTAAAGTTCCGACTTAGTAGATACGATAATCGCAATATGCTGTCTTTACCTTCGTTCAAACAATAATGATGACATTTTATTTTACAGAGTTGCTCTCTGGATATGAATTTCTATAGATCGTTTGGTGCTCTATCACCGTACGGACAGGTGACTTGTGTAGATTGTTGTGACGGAGACATGTGTAACAACCAGGGCTGTGGGGACACGGGTTCGTACCTAATTAAATCTTAACATTTTTGTCATCTAGGGAAAAAAAATTACGTCTTATCATTTGAAGTCAGCTAAAATGAATTAATCGACCACGCCATACTAGTGTTTGCTTATATCTTCAATGTTATAGCTGACAATATCACTGACAGTATGCAGAATTTGATTAGGTTATCACGAGATAAACACAAATTGGTTCATATTAAATATGAAATATGCAGTCATAATAATTTCACATGATTTCCTTTTATTGATTAATGGCTAGTTTCATTAATATTTAAATATTTTCCCTTGCTTCCAACAATGCTTTCCTAATGGAAAACTTTAGTTCCGAATTACCTTTCGTTGTTTAAGGATCTGTCATAACATTTGTTTCAGTTCGTATTCAAGTATATAACCGTATACCTTCCTCAGGTATGTAATGTTCCAAGAACGCTATAATACTAGGGGCAGTCCCATGTATGTATTGGGTTCATCTTTCCAGTGGTAGACTCTGCTGATGGATGTCTTAGTCCCCGAGGTTTGCCGTTAACTTGATGAAGACAGTTATCTCACTTTAGTAGTGGCACGGTTCATAGTATACACACTTTACTAGTTCGTAATTGATATGATTAAGAGTATTTACACACCTCACTTCTGTTTCGACTATAGTTAAGACCGATTTCGATTTCGAACTTTTCGGCCCCTAGTATCACCAATGAGTCCCTAAAGGACGTATCAGCGGTATGGTGCAGCGTAATTCACCTTTGTCATGCTGTATCCTTTACCAAAGTTTAAAGTAGCAGTCACATGCGTTTGCTAGGATCATCTTTCTAGACCTAGCTAATACAGGAACGTAGTATTTTATATTCGTCCGTTGTTGCTATGTTACAGGTATTATTATGCATACTTCTGTTCGGAAATATACTGCAGACTAATGTTGTTAAACTTATTTCATTTACATTTTTTCGGAATTTCATGCCATATTAGTAAGTGTTTTTGTTTTATTGAAAAATCCATGTTTCGAAATTGATATTCTGGATACGTCTCCAAAATTCAATGCAACACCCTTGTTAAATTTCCCCCGGACTTTCACAGGACCACCACCGAGAGAATCACGTGGGCCCTACTGTTACCAGTGTCAACACATGCCAGACCCAAGCTACTGTGAAAGACTCACTATCTGTGATGTTAATGAAGTAAGGTTCCATTATGTCATTTTTCTAAAATGTTCATGCGATGTTTGCTTAAACGAATCCATAATGGTTTACATTGTTTAAGAGTTTATTGTAGATGTCACAAAGAGGTTGTTTGGTTGGGTCATCAACCTTGTTTTATTTTAGAATGTTTTCACTTAATATAAAAACTGTAGTTATGAAATGCCAAAACTTAGAGGTATAGTAAGTACACATGTTATTTGTGAAGTATTGTAGGGTTTATAGTTTGCCGAAGAGATTTGTGCATTATCTAACATAAATTTACTGTGGTCATCATGTTGCGTCATATATTAACATTTGCATGGCATTGTCACTGGATAATTTAATTAAAAGCTGTGACGTTGATGGGACTTTAAATACCATGCATTACGATACACAATTTGTTTGCGTATTAACACAACACAGACCGTAACGACAATATTCAATGTAAACAATCATGACCGCTGCTGAAATCTCACAGGCATTTTGAGACTTGACTATTGTCATTGTAAATGTGAAAAAAAATCGCTAAAATAGTCTAAAAATACTTTTACTATAACAAAAAATAAAGACAAACATCTAAAATATCGTATGAAATGTACATCGGTTAAAATAACCAATAAAAACAATTTGAACACTCAAAGAATATATCAGAAAAATATCGTTCGTTACAATGCACTGATCTAACCATTACATAATCAAACGATCTTCCCAATTTGGGTTTGCCCGACTTTTTTGGTGATGAGTTCTCATCTAGAGGGGATGAAACTTTAACAACTATCAACGTTACTAGAGTAACGTCATCAATTTTTGAGAAAACGATGTAATTTTCTCACACAAACCAATGACGTAACAATCTATACCTGCTCACAAGAGAAGATAACTCTGCAATACGCAAAGACGGAAAAGACATATCATACGCAATTGTATTGATAATAAATAGTGGAATAAATTCAAGTGTATGTTTAATTTTCAAAGTACTACTTTGTTTGGAGATTTGGCCGTCATCGGTTGGTAACGATCTCAAACTCCGAAGCAGAGGGACACTTTCTAGTTTTTACAGGATTGTGCCACAGAGAAGGCATTGTGGATATACAAAGCACAGGATAACACAACTAGAAAAGACATCGAGTACAACTTGTGTACGAAACGTAAAGAAGTATCGTGGAAAACGGGTAAACTCGTACAATCATGCATAGCAACAGGGCGGTCAAGAGTAAACACCATGTCGAAAAAGACGGCGTTTCCGATAAAGAAACCCAACCAGACAAGCTCGGATCCGAAACAAAGGTATCATCTGGAGCAAGCACTCGCTTTCAAATAATACATCATTAGAGTGCATATCTCCAGTAAATAGTGATGATGGAGATGCTACGGTGTTATGGAATTGTGAATTATATATAAAAATTATTACAGACCCTTCCGCAAAAACGGAATAAAGGTAGGAACAACAGACACTCTACTAATAGGAAGCATATACAGAAGCCCAAACAGCACAGCAGAATACTTTCTGGCCATGTGCAACACAATTATAGATGCATGCAATAGAAACCATTCAAATATGCTACTTGTAAGAGACTACAATTTACCAGGTATAGACTGGGACAGGAGCACCGAGAAAGAGGGAATAGACAGCTTGGAGTTCAAGTTCGTGGAAACTTTTCAGTACTGCTTTCTCCATCAGCACATCAGAAGTCCGACAAGAGCGCGTGATCAGGCTGGACCAAATATGCTTGATCTTGTCTTCTTCAATGAGGAAGGGATGGTCAGTCAAATTGAAATTCAATCTCCAATAGATGAAAGTGACTACTCTGTCATATAATGTATAATGAATGTCTATTCAACTACAGAAAAGTAAGAAAAGGAAAGATATTTGTACGAAAAGGGGGACAACAAACATATGCAAGAAATAATGTCTATGAATTTGGTTGAAGAACTACATCCACTAACTTGAATTTGGACATGAACCAGCAATGGATACATTTTCGAGATAGATTAAAAACCTCCATTGATACCTGTATCCCTATAAGAAATCAAGCAATGCCCATCAGAAATTGCGACAGGTAATACCACTTGACAGAAAACCATTACTAAAATAAAGCGGAAACAGCGGTTATTGATCAAATTTCTAGATATAAGAAGCGATGAAACCTATGAAAGAATATTCCTATGTACGGAACTAAGTGAGAAGATTGACTAGGAAGGCTACAAATTATCGACAAAAAAAATGCCCGGGAAGTTACCCTAAACATTCTGGAGCTGTGTCCAATCAAAAACAAAATCACGAACAAAAGTATCAAAGTGTTGGCAAACTAATTTACATCAGTATTTACTAAAGAAACGGACGAGCCAATGTCCCGGGTCGACCGTATAACAGATGAAACTATATATAATGTAGTTATAAACTCCAATATTGTCTCCGAAACACTTGAAAAGTTAAAAACATCAAAGGCACCAGATCCAGCGAGTGCTTAAGGAACTGAGCTCTGTTATAAGTTTACCACTGCCCATAATCTTCAACACTTCAATACAAACTGAAGCAGTTCCCGCAGAATGGAAAGAAGCCAGTAGTACAGCCATTTTCAAAAAGGGAGACAGCAAATCAGCTAGTAATTAAAGACCTATTAGCTTAATTTGTATTTGTTGTAAAGTGCTAGAAACAATTGAAAAGAGAACCATAATCGATTACAAGCAGATCAATAAATTATTCAGCAGGCGACAATTTGGATTCATCGTGTCCACCGTGCTACAATTAATCCTTGATACAGGAGGTTACATTGATGTACTATATTGTGACTTTTTGAAGGCATTCGACGAAGTTCCCCTCCAGCGACTCATTTATAAAACGGGCATGTACGGTTTAACCGGTAAAATAACGAGCTGGATAAAGGCATTCCTTCTCAATCACACGCAATGTGGGACAGTAAATGGAGACGCATCATGCCGGAAGGAAGTGAGCAAAAAGGGGTTCTTGTCCTTTCATCCAGATAAATGCAAAGTCATGCGGATCGGCAAAAATGACAGAAACAATTTTACATACATTTTAGAAGATGGAAAAGAACTTCCATATACCGAAATTGAGAAAAAGATATTTGAGTCACTATCGACAATAAACTATCATTCAATGTCTACATACCTCAAAAAACAAACAAAGCCAATTCCGTAATGGGGGTGATCAGAAGAAAAATGGAGTATATGGATCTCACTACATTTACAGCGCTATACAAAGGTTTTGAGAGACCACATCTTCAGTATGCTAACCAGGTCTGGAGTCCGCATCTGATTAAACATGTAGAATCGATAGAAAACGTACAAAGGAGAGCTACCCCTGAAAATGCAAACTTTGGCCTATAGAAGTGCCAAGGGAGATATGATAGAGCTATTCAAAATCATGATAGGGAAATTTGACCCTGAGGTGTCTACATTCCTGTCACCGTTCATGCCAGTAGCACCATCACTACGAGGAAACATGCACTGAAATTATATAAACAAAGAATGCGCCTTAACATCAGGAATCCTTCCTTCCTCCACCAAACCGTGGACATATGGAACAGTCTGGTCATCAGAGGTTTTAACGTCACGAACTGTTCGAGCATTTTAATTTAGACTTAATCGCCATTGGAAGAACCAGCCACTTCTCCATAACCACAGGGAACCACGATTATTTAATTTAAAAAGAAATTAACACTTATAAAACATGTATAAAAACGTAGAATACCAACATTTAATATGAACTATTAACTAGGGTGTACACGAAATATAATATAGTATACAGATAATTGTTAATTAATGAACTTACAATTACAGAGCTGTGACATTATCAGCTTGCAAAAATAATAATAAATCATGTTATTATCATTAATATCAACTAACGATTTGTTTATATAATAGAGCTGACAGCGGAGGAAATGTAAACTTTCCTGTAGTCAGAATAAAATCTGTGTATCTGTGTTTGATCAGCACGCGACAATACGCTGTTCCAGGTATTCAACAAATTTGTTTGGACTGTCAATAATGCGGGAATTTTAGGTTTTAAATATATCTTTTAAGTTAAAAACAAATATAACAGCCAGAGAAAACACAAATGTAAGTATTTAACTGTGTTTGTATAGTATTTATGATTTATTTGAATGGCACAGCTTTGCAAGCAAACAAATTATAACGCGCTAGCAAGAATTATGATGTATGCTTGCAAAGCTGGTGTCATTCAAATAGATCATACTAGAATATTTGCTTATTTTGTTAGGATTTAGGGGTCAGAAAAAAATCAACTGTTTCTGAATACATATACAAAATAATGTCATATTTTATCAACGAAGAGATGATTTTCTATAATATTAATATAAATGTTTTTGTTATTTATAACTGTGTTAAAGCTATATCCATATGTACATTCGATAAATACAATTTTCATATATTTAAAGCTGTATATAAGATTTTACATCACTTTTATCTAATGCAATCTTCATTTTCAAGAAAATGTTCTTTGTCATAGCCAATTGAAAAGAAAGACCGAAAAATACCTATGTTCAAACTTTAAGTAATAGATAGTAGATAAAAGTAAAATAATCAACAGGACTGCCCGTACTATTTCATGTAAGTTTTACAGTATATTACCTTTCCTAGGTTTGCACTATTGATGAAACAGTTTCATTTGGACATCAGTTCTCAAGCGGATGCCGACGAAAAGGAGTAAGTGTATTTAAAGTTATGTATTAAGTTCTTACATCGTATCTGTTCAGAAGCGGGTTCTTAAGGAAAGAGAAATACACAGTGAGATAACTCGGTATATATTCATGTCAAAACTTGCATTCATAATATTAACTTACTGATAAGAGTAACATTCTTTTATAGTTTTTCGAGTTATTTTCTTTACTTTTTGTACGGCGCAATCAGTAAAAGAAAATGTTTCCGGAGTACTAGTATATAAGATCGAGTTGGCGCGTTAATTCCCTTTAGCATTTATAGATCAGATCAGGTGTTATCCGGTGTACAAACTATACAAATGACTATATAGTCGATCATAATAATGCAATTAGCCTCAGCCAACGAAAGCCTCGTCTCAAAACCTAAACATTACACCTGTCTACGCTGATCTGCCTAATCACGTACAGCAATATATTCCAATGTCATCACAAAATGGTTCTAAATGTACATAAACTTCGCAGAGGGCAAATGTAAATGTTCTGGGGAGACCCGCCTATTGCTTGAAGACAATGTGATAAGTATCCTTTATTGAAAATGATAGTAATTGTTTTCAATGAGATGTGCATTCATATTGTTTCGTGAAGAATGTGTTCTTTTTTCTGTTGGTGAACAAGACTCCGGTTTTGTATACTGGGTTGATCATATAGACACATCGTAAAATTGACACCTTTTTGCCAAAGAATATATAATATTTACATTTGCATGGCATTGTCACTATATAGCCTCTTTGAAAGCTGGGTCGTTGATGGGACTTTAATTACCATGCCGCACGAGACATAATTACCATGCCGCACGAGACACAATTATAAGCGTATTAATTACAACACTGACCGGAACTACAATATCCAATGTAAATAAACAGGACGGCTGCTGAAATATCGCTGGGCATTGTGAGATTTGATAATGTCATTGTAAATTTATGTGCAAAATAAAAAATAAAAAATAAAAAACACTTTTATTACAACAAAAACAAGACCAAGGTCTGCAATATCGTACAAAATGCACATCGGTTGAAATCACCAATGCCGGCAATGGAAACAATTTTAACGCTCATGCAATTTATCAGAAATATCGTCTGTTACACTGCACTGATCAACAGGGGTTCGTTATAAATGTCTGAAATACACATATTCTATAGATCTACTGACACATATGTTACAGACCTACTGATATGAGTCACAGCACACATAAACATTCGTCATCTCAGACATTTGTAACGAACCTGTGCTCCGTCGCAAGATCACTCACTTCAAACGCTATCAGTTTCACGCGTCTCGAATCCACGGTTCCTCAGTTTCAGACGACATGTGAAGTAACGATACTGTTATAGAATCTACCGACTGTTGTCGGGTTCCCATACAATCAACAACTACATTCACGCCTGGATTCTTCACAAAATGAGCTAAGAGAAAAGTTCGAATTAACTTCCAAAAATAACTCCCTCGTGGAGGTCAAGGTCCCATTCACGGGGTTCACTGTATTTATCCATGCACGAAATTTGTTCCGGGGGAAAATCGAAACAATTTCAAATCTAACTTTCAGCTCAGGTTTCTGTTGAAAAACTGGAATCACCCTATAGACATATCATACGCAATTGTATTGATACTAAATTGTGGAATAAACTTGAAGTGTTTGTTAAAATGTCAAAGTACTACTTTGTTTGCCAATCAGCACGCGACAATACGCTGTTAAAACTATTGAACGAAATTGTGTGGACTGTCGATAAGGCCGGCATTTTTAATTTTAATTATAAATTATAAGTTAAAAAAGAACATGAGAGGCAGAGAAAACGTAAATTTAAGTATTGAACTGTTTTTGTATGGTATTTATGATCTATTTGAATGAGCGCGCATTATGTTGTTTGCTTGCAAAGCTGTGTCATTCAAATAGATCATAAATACCATAAAAAAATCAGTTCAATGCTTAAATATGTGTTACCTTCGGGGATTTGGATCAAACTTCACACAATTACAAAGGACCATAATATCTCAGACAAGTTCGAGTGTCAGGGTTGTCGGGTCAAGGTCAATGTCACCGTTACTATTTTTAGAAAATCCTTCTCCGCGTTCTAGCGGCTTCATTCTTTGAGGGATTTTGATCAATCTTCACACAATTACAAAGGACCATAATATCTCGGACAAGTTCAAGGTCAATGTTGCTATTTTTAGAAAATCCTTGATAGCGATCTAGCGGCTTCAGTCCTTGAGAGATTTTGATCAAACTTCATACAATAACAAAGGACCATACTATCTCGGACAAGTTCGAGTTTCAGGGTTGTTGGCTCAAGGTCAATGCCACGGTTACTATTTATAGAAAATCCTTGTCGGCGCTTTAGCGGCTTCATTACTTGAGGGAATTTTTTAACATTAAAGGGCACCATTTTTATAAATCACTACAGTGTAATAGCTAGCGGGGGCCGGTAGGGGACATGTGCTGCTTTTGCAATACTCAGTATGCTTGTTACATTTACTTTTATTTCACTTTAGTAGACTGTAAATATCATACTGTAACACACGACATTATCAATTTCAGCATTTCTCATTCATTTGTTCGTGATAAATATCAGGAAAACATTAGCTAGAAAAGAATTTGATAAACTGAAACATTTGTTTTGACAGGAGTGTTTCCACGAAGGTCTGCTTGTGGGGAGGGATATACATAACCTGACGAGATCGTTCCAACTCTGTCATAAGTGTTGTTCTGACGACTTTTGTAATCAAGATTGTCACGGTAAGACTTGTTTTGGGCACGGTTAACAAGGAGCACCTTTTTTAAAAGAATTATTTCCTGGTTTTGTCTTGTAAATTTGTAATAGTATAAGGGTTTTAAAGACACCTTTTTCCTTTCGCTCTGCACGTATGAAATTTTGTTAAACACTTTTGACATGAACTTGTATTCTCTTGAACTTTACTACCAATGATAAGTCCTAAATAAACGAAATATCAATAAAGTCGTCAAAAAAGATCTCAATTTGAAATCGGTGCTTCCTGATGTTTTCATTTCAAGTGATTGTTCTAAACAAATAATAATAATAATATTGATCAAAATCTCATGACATATATATTTCATATCAATTCAAACAGTTTATATTTATACATTGAAACACTTTTTGCCGTTATTTGGAATATTTAACATACTTAAAAGTATATTGTTTTCCCTTCTATTGTGATACAGAGGTGGTATCCTGGAGCGCCTGGAGTCCGTGGGGTACGTGTTCGGCTCATACTTGTGGCAGTCATGGACATCAGATCCGGAACCGATCTTGTACAAATGTCAAAGGAGACATAACATCACAAAGCTGTGAGGGTGTACCTAGAGAGGAACGTCACTGTTCAGGCGGTTTATGTTCAGGTATAATACTTTCTGTACAAATATAGTTTAAACTACTCACAGCATTGGCATATGTTTCTGTTGTGGTGGTCATTTGATTAAATTGAATTTGATACAAGCATTGCAATACCCTTTGACATTCATTGATATTACATATATTCAGATATAAAGCTATAAGTATTTTGATACAAGACATCCATAATTAACCAAAGTACAGTTGTTTTTGTAGTCCTATCAAACTACGTTCATTGTTTTACTGTATAGCTACATTTGTATCAAGTTTGAATGCGACTATTCACCCCTTAAACGATTATTGCTCGTAAATTCAGTGGTGTGATTCGATGATTTTTTTTTCAGCACATTTTAATATTAAAGTAATAAACACCAGTACCTGGGTTCCTCATCATTACCTTATCATTTTTCAATACCCGGTGCCTGTTCCCTCGTGATATTAGCGATTACTCGTTGTTTTTTCTCCTTCGTGAAGGTTGTGACGAGTTGTACAACAACGGAGAGCGTACCTCAGGTGTTTATACCATAGCCCCGGCCGAACACCAACCCCTGGACGTCGTCTGCGACATGACAGATGGAGGAGGTTGGACTGTTCTTCAACACCGGCTTACTGGTTCGGTCAGTTTCAATCGAAACTGGGCTGATTACGTCACTGGTTTCGGTGATCTACGTGGCGATTTCTGGCTCGGATTGGAATACATTCATATGCTGACGTCGCGGGGGGTCCACGTCATCATAGATATGGTTGCAATGTCAGGAGAACTAATACGTTACAGTTACGATCACTTTCAGGTGAAGGACGCCAGTACGTCGTACGAATTGTCAGTTTCCGGTGATAACTCTGTGAATTGTACAGGCGGAGAAAGACTAATGTATAATAGCCCATCAATTTTTTCTTCCCCTGACAGACTGGATAATCTCAAATGTGCAAATGCCTCTGGTTGGTGGTTTAAACGCGGTACATGGTTTAACATAAACGGTATTATAGGTGTAGCTGAAAATAACCATGGAATGGCAGTACACTGTCATAATAAGAATTTGCTACTGAATCAAACCGTTATGAAGGTAAAATAGCCAACCCGATTGTGGAAATGAATGAGTGGACAATGAATAAAATAATAATCATCTGCTATTTAGCGTTCTTGTGAATTGATAGTATTAACATGGGAATACATAAACTGGTAATATTTTCAATAAAAGTAAAAAACATGTAATATTAATTAAAGATGAACGTAACACACAAACAGGTGACAGCACCTTAAACATTTGGTAATAGATACAGTATGGTAATAGATACAGTATGGTAATATATACAGTATGGTAATAGATACAGTATGGTAATAGATACAGTATGGTACCAGATACAGTATGGTACTAGATACAGTATGGTCATAGATACAGTATGGTAATAGATACAGTATGGTACTAGATACAGTATGGTAGTAGATACAGTATGGTACTAGATACAGTATGGTACTAGATACAGTATGATACTAGATACAGTATGGTACTAGATACAGTATGGTAATAGATACAGTATGGTAATAGGTACAGTATGCCAAAATGACTCACACTGTATCGTGCAGCTGTTTCGTCCTTCTATGACTCATAATAAAAATATTTGAACTAGAAGGAATAGAGTTCCTATATGATTGCATCACATAACATGTTAATGATTATATGTTATATACAGGGAAACTTATCTAAGCAATATAGACACCTGTTAAAAACAACAACAGATCGAAGCCTGTCAAAAACAACGCTAGATCGAACCCTGTCAAAATCAAACATTACACCGATCAAAAATAGGACCTGTATGTCATCAGTCTTGATCAAACACAAATCGAAATATCAAGCAATATCAAGTAAACATTTTTCATTTAGATATTTAGGTCATTTTGTGTACTCTTTTACTCATCTGACACATATTGTCTAAAATATTAAAAAAAAAAGAGAGAGAAAAAAAAGGTTCTAACGCCAAATATGTTACTGATTTACAATGATTAATTTTTGACAGTAAGCAAAATCTTATTATTATTATAAAATCAATCAATTATGTCCATATACCTACCACCAATGGAGAGGACTTGTATAGGCTATAAGCCTGTTGTCCAATCCTTTTGACAGTGTAACATTCTTCTATGTCAATAAAATATGTTGAAATCAAATCTGACACAATGTAGGGTTTTCCATGAAACATTTTTGAAGCTGGTATGTTTCATTTTAATGTGTGTTTGGGGTTGACATTTTATGGAAGAAGCATGCGCAACAGTGCCATGTCATATCTAGGACAGGGATATGGATATAACCTTTAACGTTCCTCATTTTAATCAATAATTAAACCAAAGATAATTCATACACAACCTCTGTGTTTATTATGTTATGAGTCTCAGCAATATACTTGTTTAGAATTTCTAGAATCAAAACCTGTATAAAGGAACATTTTGTTAAAGGAAGGTACAATGTAGATGTTATACCTTAAATAATTGATATGGCATCTGCTTTTTATCGTTACATTTGTTAAAAGATAATTTGTTAAGAAATGATCGAAAGATAGTGTCTTTCTGATTATATTTTTGAGGAAAACAAATGTATAATAAATATACATCATATCAGCTATACCGTTTGTGTTAGCTAAATAAATTAGGGGGTAAACCAGTTATGAACTTAAATCATCGTATACTTCCTATTATGAAAAAAAGAAACTCTTCTTATTTTTTGACAAATGAACATATTGTTTAAATTTCCAATTTATATACTATTAACTGTCAATAAAATATTATGAAGATTAACACAGTATTTTCTTTTCAGTTTTAATTTCACATAATCGCCGATGGTGACCATATTTAATAAACCTAAATACACACGCTGCAACGTTCTACTACTACTGTCGAATGCATTCGTGTGCGAATAAATAAATCCGCTAGCTGGATCAGTGGATTGTTTTCAAAGTCTTACACAGCAGTTATGTTTAAAGTGCCTACGGTCAGTATAAAATTACTTATCCTGATACAGATATGTCGACTAAAGTGTCAACACGTCATTCCATATCATATACATAGAGGTTCCCTAACGAGTGATGGTTGGTTATCATGTCTATCTAACTCGAGTTAGTTAATTTTCAAATTGTATAAAGACACGAGGTTTACCAAGAATTAGATAAACATGATAACTAATCTTCACGAGTTTTGGGACCTGCTTTTTGGTGTCCTCTATTTAGGGACACAAAAGCGACCAAAATAAATCTGCTGTGTATAGGACGCTAAACAAAATTAAACCAAACCAAACCCATAATGTTCGTATTTTATCTGAAAAAAAGAAGACATTTTTCCCTTGCAAAACACTTCATGTGTGTTTCTGATGGGGGACGTCGAAAAGCATTGTTACGTGACGTCATGAATCAAAGATTGACCACTGAAATCACGTCCAGGAAATTACTAACTAGTGGGTTACTCCTTGCAGGTGTATCTTATGAGTCATGAGTGAGGAAACCTACAGTGGTTGTGGGAGAAACATATTTTAAACATGGCTAAATTACTGCCATTAAATTAAATTAAGCATTTCCTCTTTGTTGAGTAAAATATTTCAAATATCAAAGCAATTGTTTTCCTCGCTGCGTGATGCCTGTACATTCAGTATAAAGACATTGACTAGCTATCTATTTCTTCGTGAAGGTTTATGTCGAAATGTAACATAACGGAGAGTGTACCTCAGGTGTTTATACCATAGCCCCGGCCGGACACCAACCCCTGGACGTCGTATGCGACATAACAGATGGAGGAGGCTGTACTGTTCTTCAACACAGACTTACCGGTTCGGTCAGCTTCAATCGAAGCTGGACTTATTACATCACTAGCTTCAGTGATTTCTGCCTTGGATTGGACTACATTCATATACTGACGTCGCGGGGGTCCATATCATCATCGATATGGTTACAAAGTCAGGAGAATCAGTACGGTACAGGTACAATCACATTTTCAGGTGAAGGACGCCAGTACGTCGCACGAATTATCGGTTTTCCTTCAGCATGATACCCCTATGCATTTTACAAACGTAAATGGACTTATGTGTAATAGCGGATAATAGTTTGCCACCCATGACAGACCAGATTAAGGCCACTGTGCTACTCATGGTTCAATTATTGTTCACTTTTCAATTTAAACACATGGACATGTCTCCAGAATGTACCCAGATTATTTCCCTAGAGTATCAATGATATGGACACCACCAAGAAAAAGAAAGAGAGGAAGACCAAAGAAAACCTGGAGATGGTCTGTTGTGAAAGAACAAAAAGAAAAATACTGGACATGGGGACAAATACACCAGTGGTCCCAAGACAGACATAAATGAAAATATCTGGTGATGGCGTTATGTGCAACCCAGCAAGAAGAGGACTAAATAATTTCAATTAAAATGGCATAAAAGATATAAATAATGCGGATTTTCGAATGGCCGTGAGATGTCCTATGCCTATACACAAAAACAATTATGAAAGTAAGTTAATCAATGCTACAACTATAATAACAGATAGTGGTTAAATATTACTAAGATTCATATGAAACAATGCATTCCTTTAAGTGAATGTACGGACAACAATACAGTGTATTTAACTCATATTCAATTTATGTTAGTTGGCGTACATGTGGATAGACATCATTAACAGAATAGATACATTGTAATGTAATTTGATCAATAAAACACACTAACAACTGAATGAATGAGATAAATGTCGAGTTCACAAAGGCTGTTTTTCCATTGACATCTATATCGCTACGTACAAACTGTAATATGTTTGAATGTCCAAATGTCTGGTTTAAACAGGTTTCTGGATTCAGTGAGTGCAAGATGCACAGCATTGAGTTTTATATTTATTGATCTTTATTTCAGTTGATATAGTGTTTGCATTTTATCAATGTAAAATATCTCGTAGGTGAATTAAGTCACTTAGGGACCTCATGTGTAGAAATACTGCTTTATACATGTAGAAATAATTTGATATAGTTCGATAAAAAGTTCTATATAGAATTTGGTCGATTTAGTAACAATTCAGTTTTAATCACTTCAAGCCACGAATTAATTGATCCGCAACAGATTTAAATTTAATTTGTATGACAGGGTTAGATACGAATGGACCAATCGGAAATGGGGGAAGACGACTTCATCTATTCTGATCATAATATACCAAGGGGAAAATTGTGTAATGAAATTTTGATATTAAACATTTTATTCTGAATAAATGATTTCATTGAATTTGGTATTCGGATATAGCAATCAAAGAAATTAAATAATAATTAAAAATTAGTGCAAAAATGATTTTAAAATATGACGACTTTACCATCAAGTACATACATATCTGTTGTTGCCATATATATTTTGCTCAACTCGATCCACTTCATCTGAATTTCCATCAAAGCATGTATTAATTACGGGTAACCCCACACAAAACGATCAGAGCTGTTAATGCAAACAAACAATTTCAGACTTAAAACACTCTAAAGTTTATCTCTTTATTTCTTGTTATGTGTTAAATGTACATAAAGGTATAGTCATGAGGTTCAGGGCGGATCCAGGTAGTTTAGAAGGGGAATCCGAAATTGTTTTGAATTGGTGTCTTTGACAATTACTCGCTTATCAACAGGCAAAAAAGCATGTGCGAGTTTTTAAAGCGCTAAACCCCTCTGGAGGTCTAGGGTCTCCTCATAGTGGGTTTTTTCAAAGCATTTAACATTGAAATGGTTAAATAGTCTGGAAATGCTTAACGTTTATTTTCTTACAAATAAACAAAAATTAAATATTATGTACAATAACTGAAATCCGTAAAGCTATCATGCCAATCATGACTGTGACAGTTCTGTGTACATTTTACTGATGATGGTTGACTATGAGGCGATGCATAGTGATTAAAAACATGATACCTGAATCTTTATAGAATTGCTTATTAAGCAACTTTGACTGTTTTCCTCCTAAAAGTGTGAGGGTGGAGCTATCGTTTTTTGCCAGCATGGGCTGAGTTACAGGGTGGCCAGAGTGAATAAAATGGCCTCGAAGGGCTTGGGCAACATCAGTGCAAATCTAAAAGGCAAACAAGCACTGGTGGTGACAGATTGCCAGACAAATTTGTTCTACATTC